TTTTTTTTTTCCTGTGAAGCTTCTTCAGTCAGAATTAATCTTCTCCTTAGAACTCTGTACCTCCATTATAGCCCTTAACCTCTGTAGTTATTAGAGGACTGTGTGTCCTCTGTCTCTCCTTCCTCTTGTCTGTTCCTTAATAGATTATAAATATCTTGACATAGTAGCTATGTTCCTATATTAGTTTTGTTAATTGAGTGGTGCCTTACTAGTAGTGGTCGTGGAATAAATGCTTGCTAAATTAATTTGAATTTGTCACTCAGTTGTAATGAGTAACTGTCTGCTGTGTCCTGTGCTACAACCTGAGAAGGTTGCCCCCAACCTCCAACAGTAGAAGGTAGAGTGAAATAGGACCATAGAGAAAGAACCTCATATGTGGGATGAACTTAAAGAATAGGTAGAATTTAGGGAACTACAAGGGCATTAGTTGGGAGAGAGGAAGAGAAATGAGAGAACTAGTGTGTTTTACCTCTCTCCTTATCAGTGAAATTATCTTAATTTTACTGAAAAGAGATAGGTATTAAAATTTAGCTCATAATTTTTAATTAAGCTTTGCATTTTTCTTTTTTGGCACTTTTGTTTTTACAGGTACAAGAAAATTCCCCAGGACATAGAGCTGGACTGGAGCCATTCTTTGATTTTATTGTTTCCATTAATGGTTCGAGATTAGTAAGTTCAGCTTTTTGTAGTTTTGACTATAGTATTTTGTAACCTTTTGAAATTGGAATTTTTCAGATTATCTGGGGTGGATGTTTATTCGTTAGTTACAAACATTAAATGGGGTTATGATACCAGTTTGTAAAAATTATGTTAGTAAACATGAAAATGTCAAATACAAAATACTATATATACCTCACCCTTCAGTGACTATCTTAGGAGAATAAAATTACTGGAGACTTTTATATGTTAAATATTTAATTTTTTTAAGCAGAAAGAAATAATTAGGATTAAAAAGTTTGCTTTTTCAGTAATGTCAGACTTTTGTATGTTACTGACAAGTGGATTAGTAAAGACCCATTCTCAAATAACTTAGTTTTCTTGGAGCTGAATTCCTTGATATATAAATAATATTATTGGAACCAGATAATTATGTTCCAAAAGTACAGAATTAAAACCACCTTTTATAAGTTGCTTTCAGTTTCCCCGTAGTAAAGTCTTAAGGAAAAAAAAATTAGGTAATTTCAGCAACAGAAATTCTTATGACTGTGGCTACTTGGTTGGTTTATTTTTTCATAGCAGTTTCAACTTTTTGTTCATTATCAGCATCTCCTACATAATGGCCTTTTTTCATTTATGTAATGAAATATTTAACATACTGCTTCCATTTTTCTCTCCTGCCAGTTCCTAATAAATAAATAAAGCATATGTTTAGGAGTGCTGTCCAAAATTAAACTACAACCTCAGCAAATGTTCTAGATTTTAAAATCAAAGTCATACCAATTTTGTTACTAATGTGACTTTTTTTTTTTTTTAATTTTTTTTTTTTAACGTTTATTTGTTTTTGAGACAGAGAGAGACAGAGCATGAACGGGGGAGGGTCAGAGAGAAGGAGACACAGAATCTGAAACAGGCTCCAGGCTCTGAGAGCCCTACGCGGGGCTCGAACTCACAGACCACGAGATCATGACCTGAGCCAAAGTCGGCCGCTCAACCGACTGAGCCACCCAGGCGCCCCCGTAATATGACTTCTTAAGGAGTATTTTGTTTTTTGGGTTTTCTTTTGTTTTTCTTACTAAAAACAATTTTTTTTAATGTTTATTATTTATTTTTGAGAGAGAGAACCCACAGAATCTAAAGCAGGCTCCAGGCTCTGAACTGTCAGCACAGAGCTGTATGTGGGGCTCGAACTCACAAACTGCGAGATCACGATCTGTGCCGAAGTTGGGCGGTTAACCAACTGAGCCACCCAGGCATCCCGGAGTATTTTGGTTTTTTATCACTAAAGCTCTAGATCACCTCAAATAATGTTGGGTTTCAAAATCCATAATCCGTAGTCAACTATTAGAAAAAAGTCAGAAGTTGTTGATAACATAGGAGTTGTTCTTAATTTTTGACATTCTTTCACTTCAAGGAGCATTTGAATATTAATGAAAGCTTTACCTGTTGGATGTTGATTATTAATACTACTCCAGTAGGGCCATAGGATGCTTAAGCTAAAATAGTTAACATTTTTTATTCATTAAGAAATAATATTTCTATGTGTTCACAGAATAAAGACAATGACACTCTTAAGGATCTACTGAAAGCAAATGTTGAAAAACCTGTAAAAATGCTTATCTACAGTAGTAAAACACTGGAGCTTCGAGAGACCTCTGTCACACCAAGTAACATGTGGGGTGGCCAGGGCTTGTTGGGAGTGAGCATTCGTTTCTGCAGCTTTGATGGGGCAAATGAAAACGTTTGGCATGTATTGGTAGGTATCAAGTGTGAGCTGTTACTTGCAATTTAAGAAATGTTGTAGAAAGGTGCGGTCTTCAGCTTGGTTGGATTGTAGAGGTATTATTACTATTATTATTAGGCTATTTTTAGTTTCTGAAAAATGGAATTCATTGCTTTAAATATATGGATTAATAATTTTTTT